AGCCGAGTTCGCATATAACAACACCATTCATGCGTCAACTCAACAAACGCCATTCTTTTCCAATTATGGATACCATCCGAAGCTTGACTTATGGAGTTCGTCAACGATTAACAATCCGACAGCTGAAGGATTGGTGAAGGAGCTTTCGCAACTTCAAACTATATTGAAGCTTCAATTGCAAATTGCCCAAGAATCTTACAAGGCGTCCGCGGACAAATTTCGGAATGAGGCACCTAAATTCACGATTGGAGACAAAGTTTGGCTACTTCGACGAAATATTAAGACCAAGCGGCCATGTGACAAATTGGACTATCGGAGATTGGGACCATTTGTTATCCAGAAGCAGATCAATCCTGTAGCGTATCGTCTAGAGTTACCAGCTACTATGAAGGTACATCCTGTCTTTCATGTTTCTTTGTTGGAGCCTTATCGAGAATCGTCTTTTCCTGGAAGAGTACAATGTCCACCACCTAACATAGAAATAGAGAACCACGAAGAATACGAGGTGGAAAAGGTCCTGGATTCACGGCAAAGACGGGGTAAATTAGAATACTTTGTGCATTGGAGCGGTTACGATATTAATGAACGAACATGGGAGCCGGCCGAAAATCTCGCGAATGCGCCACAAAAAGTACAGGAGTTTCATCAACGATATCTTGAGAAACCCAAGCCGGTTCGACGATAGCTTCTTACTGAAGCTTGCTCATCCAGAAAACAGAAAAGAGGAGAGAGCACCACCAAAATCCATAGTTGATGTAGTCATTCTCTCCAAGATGGCGTAGAACTTTGTTAGTAGCCCAAGTTTGTTCTTATTGTTTTAGCCTTTGAATATGGATAGCCAAGATACTACACTTGTCATGTCATCTCAAGCAACTAGCTCACGAAGACGACCGCGAGATGAAGAACCGCCTGCACCACGACAACGTCGAAGGATTCCGAGCAACAGATCGCTGGTGATTGTATTTGAGGTCGAGCCTGCCTACAATGGTCAGCCAGAAGGAGTGTTTGGAGGACAATTTCACAATGAAGACACGGAGGTTCATGCTTGGTCAGAAGTTGAAGGCGTGGGCCACTACCGTTGGCTTCAAGGACCATTGAATCACTTGCCTCGTGAACAACAATTGGAGTTCATAGCAGAGGTTATGCGACAGATCTTCATTTTCTTGCGTTGGTATTGACTGACGATAACATTGCTTCTCGGAGACCTCGAAGCTAAAGGAGGAGGTGATGTTAGGGACATAGTCTTTAGACCTTTCTAGAGACGAGTTTCTAGAACCTTCTAGAAAGAAGTCTCTAGAAACTTCCAAAAGATTCCTTAAATATTTTCTTAGAATATTCTTCAAAGATTCCTTAAAGATTCTTTGAAGATTCCCTAAAGATTCCCTTAGAAGGCTCTAGAAGATTCTTAGAATATTCTAGTAGATTCTAGGAAGTTACTTGAGAAGCTTCCTAGCTCTTGGGTAGTTGCTCGAGAAGCTTCATAGTTCTTGGGAAGCTTCTTGATGTGCTTCCTTAGAACCATAGGCCAGTAGTATATATAGGAGTCGAGGCTAAAGAGTTCTTCAGTCTCGACAACGCATCTCTTGAAGCTCTAGCTCAATTCTCTTGGCGTTACTCTTGTACTCATCTGATAATCTAATTCTTGTCATTTCTTCTTGAACTTCTTGTTTAGATTTCTTGTTTGTATTTTTGGTCCGTGACATTGATAGTAGATTTACAATTCATTTTTTTTTTATGGTAAAGCATAAAAGAAAGTCTAAATTATCTAGAAATTTAAGAAAAAATTAAAAAATAGATTAAAAGATATAAATTTTTAAAGTTTAGAAAAAAAAAATCTTTGTGGAAGAAAAACATTTTGAAAAGATTTTGGTACAATTTGGATATTTTATGCAAAGTAAAGTGGATTTTTGAGATCCAAGACATCATATACTTGTTAAAAATGGAGATAGAGAGCTATAAAAAAATTATGATATAAAGATGGATTTTTAAGATGGACATTATAGATTTTTTTTGAGCTTAATCAAATCAAGCTTATCAACAAATAATTTAATCATAAGTTGGTATAGCAAAGGATTTTAGGACATTTCTAGATATTTTAGAAAGCCTTTTGTATGAAGCTATTTAAATATAAAAGAGTTTTATTAATAGAATATCTTTTAATATCATTATATTTATTTAGCTTTTATAATAAGAATATATATCATATTGGAACTTATCCAATAAGTTAAAGCTAAATTCTCTACATCTAGGTATCCAATGTATTTTAAAATAGAAAATCATGCCATATGACACTGCTATTGTATTATATGTATTCTTGCTTAAGAATGCATCAAGTACCTAGCTGTGGAAGGTAAGTAACAATGGAACAATAATTCTACTAAGTTTAATAGAGCCTTAAATAAACTTCAAGTAATTCCTAATAATCTAATCAAACTATAATCTATCCAAATAAATTTAAAAGATGTTATAAAAGAAATATAAAGAATTTTAAAAAATATTCAAAATAAAAATTCTAATGTAATTCTAATTATAACCTTTATTAAATCTTAACCAAATCCTAGCTGAAATCCTAATGAAACTCCAATAAAATCCTAAATCTTAAAGAAATCCTATATAAGTTCTAAACCAAATCCTAAGCAAACTCTCATCCTAACCAAATCCTAGACCAAATCCTAAACCAAATCCTAATCAAATCTTAGATCTTAAATAAATTCTTAACAAATCCTATAGCAAAATGGAACATCAAAAACTAATGATCAAACTATTGATATCAATTCAAAACTTGAACACTTCTTAATGTCTTAATTAGAAACAAGCACAAGAAAAATGATATCAATCGTACTTATTAATTTAAAGAAATACAAGATAATCCAATTGAGTGTTGAATGGCCTCTTATTCCAATGAAAATGCTAAACTTCTTATCCAAATATCTCCTTATTGAACCATTGATTTGATTTTAAATTTCACTTAAATATTGAAAATTAAGTCTAGTATCTATATAAATTTTTTTCACTTCAATCCAATTGACAAATTACTAAAGATCTTAGAAATACTCACTAATCCTAAAATTCCAATTTTTGAGATCTCAACCCACAAAAACCTTCACACACTTTGATCCAAGTCTTTGATTGACCTCAAAATTTGCACACACATTCACAACTAGCACACCAAAACACTGCCCAAAATTCATCTATACAACACTACAAAACTTAAGAAATCTTCAAATTTGTAAATACATTTTTATTTTTTAAAATCTAAACCAACCAAGAATATTATTAACTTTGAAAATCCCTCAATAACTCAATATTGATTGAATTGACATAAATCCAATGCTAAAAAATCTCTCCTCAAATCTATTCTCAAATTCTACTCTCCAATCTACCAAAAAACTCTTGCATCACTATTGGTGCTTGGTTTTGTGCCTTGGGGTCTGATTTTGATCCAGGTTGACAACCAATCCTCTCCAAGTATCAATTCTTGGTTTTTAATGGTAACTTTTGCTGAAATGTACTCTTACATCCTTCCTACACATGCTTATGTCATTTATTTTTCCAATCTACTTTGTTTTGCCTTATTTATGGCCCTACAAAGTAAGTAGAAGTCCATTTTGCAAAAAGGCAGCATTGATACTTTTTAGTTTTACTACCTTTTTGACTATTATCTATATTTCTAGGATAATTTGCTAAAATATTTTAAAATAATATCTTCTATAATATAATGTTTTCTTCTCTCTTTCATTCATTAGTCGTATTACATGACAATATTGCTCTTCTTTGAGTATTAATACTTGATTTCTTAAGGTAATTTCTACTACAAACAAGTCTTAACTTTCTCCTAAAGATCCCATAGGATTATTTTTTTCTTATCAACTTTAATTTGTCTTATTTATAGCCATACAAAGTAAATAAAAGCCTTTCTTACAAAAAAAACAACAATAACATTAAAAAATTTTATTATATCCCCAACTATTATCATGTTTTGTTACTATATCTTTTAACTATGTTCTTCTATAATAGAACTCATATTTTTATCTTTCACCATATAATTATGTCATAACATAAAAATATTGTTTGCATACAACATAACAATGTTACGACATATATGCAAGTGTAGTAGCTCTTCGCTCTCACATTACTTACATGTGGTATAGGAATATCATGGTGTATATGTAAGTGTAAATTTGAGCAATTTGAAGTAAGGAAAAAACACATGATTGAGAGGGGGTCACAATGAGGGCAAAGTGAAGTAAACAAGAGAAGAGGGTATAAATATTTATACAAAATTTTAGACTTTTTATCATTACATCTATAAATAATTCTATATTGATTGGTTCTCTCCAATTTGTAATCTATACTTGTAGAAGGTCTAAGTAGATCAAAAAATAATGAAGATAGAAAATAGCATATATACCTATTTATATATTTACTTTTCTTTTCTTCTAAATGTTGTTTCTTATTTCCAAAATGATTTATTAAACAAATTTGTGCATAATAATCTAATGATGAACATATTTAGGAAAAATCTATAAATATTGACATCTTTTTTCTTTCATAAATTCCTTACAAAAAATATCACAATATAAATATATATATATATATATATATATACACACAATATTAATGTCACTATTTGAAAGAAAAGCTGAAATAAAAAAAAGAAATCAAGAGAATCCATTGATCATTTTTAAAACACTTATTATCATTCCATAACTTTGGAGTGAGAATTAATAAAAGAAAAAAAATGTTTTAATTTTTCTTTTAAAAAATAGACACATATCAAATTTAATAACACTCACATAAATTTTGAGGCACATGATAAACCACATTCCTTAGAATCAAACCACATCCTTGCCAGTTTACACTAACATTGATTAGCAATCGGTCTGTCAAAAACGGTCATGAGGGACCTTTTCTTCAAGAAACGGTACACAATGGACTCTTGGTGGTGATAAATTGAAGGAAATAAAAGATAAACCCATGAAGAAAAGATGAGAAACCCTAATAAGCTGAGGAAGCTGTTGTTGCAGAAAGAGATGTGGACGCTGCCTTTGCAGTATGTGTGTGTGTGTGTCAATGCCTCGTCCGCACCATCTTGATGACAGATGTGTAGAACTGTGAGTTGGGTAAGTTTGTGGGGTCTAGGATCGGTACTCTGCTGGAAGATTCTCCGCAAATTGTGGTATTTCCAGTGCCTTTAATAGCACGGCCATGCACTGAGGGGGGGATCCACTCATTCTGCTCAATTGTATCATCTGCGGTGGATTGATATATGTATTGGACGATGGTTGTGAACGGCAACTGTGTCCATCGACTCCGCTTCATGAGTTGTCATGCAATCCGGTCCTGCAAGTCCATCCGTGTTTTCACGCAATCAGTTCCGGTATCTGGACCCATCCGGTAGCTTCTCACACAGCTTCCTAATCTAACTTTCAATTGTGTGCTCCATCTTTGCATCTTTTTTTTTTTGTATTTTTTCAGTGTTAGCTGCGTTGGTTAGACATCATTCTAGAATTGGCTCGGTGGCTTTCATGTACCATCTTCATAACCTAGATTGCCTTTTTCAACGAAGTTACTGAAACCGTGCTTGGTGTTTGAATTTGAGTTTCAGATAGATAGATAGTCTTGTCGATTTTCCCTGTCATTTGGATTTCAGCCATGGTTTTGATGCTTGTGGCGAGGAAAATTTTTGAGGTTCATGCCCATGAATGGGTCTTGGCTTGTCTTGTGTGAAGAGCTGTTGTCGACTGGAATTCAACTCTAATTTGGACATTGTTCTTGTTTGTTTCTGTTTTTTTCTTGCGAAATATGTCCTGTTCTGTCGTTCCGGGTGGTCTATTTCGCGGAGCACAATCCTGTGACCATCTATGTCATCTTCTAGTGGTCAGAAATTGAAGGTCTTTGTTCTTTCTCTGCGGTTCTTACCTGTCATCATCTGCTTAGATGTTGGTTTTCTTCGTTGCAGGATTTCAATTTCAACGTCAGGTATGGCAGAGGGCCACTCCCAGCAATCAATGGCTAGCGAAGTGCATCCGTTGGCAGCTTCAGGCTTCAATGCTGATCAGAGAATTTATGAATCGGCTCGACCAAGCTACCCAGCAGCTGTGTTAAAGATGGTGAAGGAAGAAATTGTGGTTCCTCTTGGTAACCCCACCACAGCCTCGAGTCTCTCGGTGCTGGATCTAGCCGCGGGTACCGGAAAGTGGACGCGACTAATTCTTCCTTTAGGCATTGGTCAGATTGTTGCTGTTGAGCCCTCTCCTGGCATGCGCCGCGAGTTTCAGCTCGTTTGTCCTAACGTTACCATCCTCGACGGCTCGGGTACTGCTATTCCACTGCCAGATGCAAGCGTGGATGTCATCTTCATCGCACAGGTATGGATCCGAGCTCTTTTCTGATTTGAAAGGTATTCACGGTGATTGGAGGGCATTTGGGACACAATAATCTAGGGTTTCCAAGACACTGGCTGATGTGTTTGTGTCGATCTTCATCGTCAGGCATTTCACTGGTTCGCAAACGTTGATGCATTGACCGAGATGCACCGCGTGTTGAAACCGGAAGGAACAGTTGTCATGATTTGGAACCTGGAAGACATGAGGACTTCCTGGGTTGCAAGGTTACGTGGTGCCTATGAGAAACACGAAGCTGGTAGTCCTCAGTACAGATTAGGGCTGTGGCGGAGACCCTTTGTAGAGCCAGATATGGCGAAGGTGGTGTCAAAAATGTTCCATTTACCATTTCATGAACGGCAAGTCAGCCACTCTGTGTCGAACACGAAAGATGATGTGTGGCAACGCGTCCTCAGCAAGAGTTACGTTGCAGTTCTCAGCGCTGAGCAGAAGGAAGAGCTGAAGAAAGAAGTGGACCATATTTTGTCAGCAGAGGATGTACACTGGGATAATGGAGAGGGTACCGAAAAAGTGGTGCAGTATCCTTATACAACTGATGTCGTATGGTTCAAGAAGCTCTCGTCAGACGTTTTACCTCAAAATGCGAGTGCCTTCACCCCCTTTTTTTATGAAAAAGGCTTCGAACCCTATGTCACTTGATCCTGCAAGTCGCCGTGGCGTTTCCTTTGACCATCTCCAGTGCAGAGTTGGACAAAATTATCGGAACTGAACAGGTTCAGCTTTGGTTTTTCATGAGTCCAGAGTCAGCATTGTTTTTTGGATCCAGCATCGCACTGTTTTAGTGCGAGGCACATTGATTTGTCCATTCTGTGAATTTCTAATTCAATTATGTCCTTACAAGTCATTCATTCTACATTTTGGCTGCTTGGTACGATGCTTATGTGGTCTTACGTGCTGCAACCTATTGTGGATATCTTTCCTCGCAGTTGTAGATTGAATGCGATGCTTTGGGATTTGCGCGCATTCAAGCATTGATGCAGTCTTCCTAATTGACTTCTGTGGGGAAATATTTGTGGGAGAGTTCAGGTGGAGACAATCTCGACTCCTCTTCAAGAATCGAAGAAATACGCCAGGGTAATCCGCGCTTGAGTTCTGGTCACAGTTTCTCGGTGTAAAACGACCTTATAAAATGCATCTGTTAACACCTGCATTCAAAAGCAATCAGCGAACTACATCGCATAATTTTTTTATTCTAGAAATCTTCGCATCAAATTTTAAGGTGTGGCAAGCGCGTAATTGACCTCAGTGGGATAAAAACATCAACCGGTTAATCGTAATGCGTCACTGACGTTGATGCCTACACCGTCAAGTCGCGAACTTGCGGTGACCCAGTTACCATCATTCTGTGCATGAGATCTACCGAAATCAACCTGGTGCGACATACCAACAAATGAAAGTCTGCGTGCAGACCTCCAAGCACATCCTCCTCGATGACACCCATCAGCTACAGTGAGATGCTCCACCTTGTCGTTGTATTCTCGGATTGGATCACTGCTGTCATGTCCCACTGAAGTCGGCATATGTGCTGCGGAGATCGGCATGGCACAAACATGAAGAATGCAGCGATTTCATGCAAATTTGAAGGTGAGTTTCACTAACAGATTAGCAGAAGACTATGTTGCCCCGCTAGAATTTATCCATGCTGAAGTGGGTGATCATTGGGAGGAGGTGGAGATAACTCATATTAAAACAGGGAGATAAAAAGTTGTCACTAACAAAGATTGCCAACTAAAATTAGACCTAGTTATACACATATACTTATATTAGTTTAACAGAAGTACAAAAAGTATTTGAGAGTACATTTTAGTGTATAGATTTCATCATTTCTATTATCTTCTACAATGTTACTACAATTACCATCATTCTAATGAAAGCTCATGTTGGCATCAAAAAGCATTCTATGACTGCATAATTGTAGTAGTTGTGGTACAAGTGTACATAAGTATTTTCAACTATTTACTAAAAATAGTATTTAACATATGTTTATATTATCTCAATTGTATATAATTTTTTCCAAAGTGTAGAATATCACCAATATTGGTTTTGAGGTATATCTATATATGTTTATGTGTATGTATATGTAGGAAGTTATTAAAGCCACATCTTTCTTTGCCATCTCATGAATGATTCCATGTCTATTTTTTGTTCTCATCTCTTGTTTTTGTCCCTCATTCCCATCCTTCATTTTCATCCCTTATTTCTAATCCTTTTGTTCATTTTCCATGTTTTAAGCGTGGAATAGGCCCCACTTTATACTCCTTCTTTCCTTCCTCCTCTATTTGCAAAATACCCAACATTTGTAATTCATTTGTGCTCAAATAGGAATTAGTAGGAAATACTTTTATAGATATTGGTTGCTCAAAATATGTGTAATGAAAAAAAATACAAAAAATACAAAAAAACAATAAGAAAATTATTGATATTGTTACTTGGATGATTTGGATAGTATTACAACATTGTTAAGTGTTAACACAACTATATGGTAAAAAATAAAAATATAGATGTTATTATAGAAGAGCCTAGTAGAAAGATGTAGTAGAAAAATAAGAATAAATCATAGAAAGATAGTAAAAAGTTTAGTCTTAATGCTGCCTTTTGTAGAAAGAGCTTCTATTTACATTGTAGGAGCATAAAAGCCTCAAATCAAAATAAATAAAATAAATAAATAATATAAATATCTTTAAAAGAGTGTTAAAAATAGTTTTATGCAAAAATTACCTCAAATTACCAAAAATTGATACTTGAAGAGGATAGGTTATGAACTTGGATCAAAATCAGATCCTAAGGCATAAAACTGCACATCTATGGTAATTCAAAGGTTCTTTTGCAAATCAAGATAGGATTTTGAGCGTAGACTTGAAAAGAGATTTTTGAGAGTTGGTTTCATGTCATTTGAATTAATATTGAGGTTTTGAGAGATTTTGAAAGTTAGTAATGTATTTGGTAGGTTTGGATTTTGAGAAATAAGAATAATTTTATAAATTTCAGGATTTTGTGAGTTTTATAGCATATTTACAAGTCGAAATTTGAAATTTTGTTATTGTACTTGTTGTAAATGTGTGTGAAAATTTTGAAATCAATTAAGTAGTTAGATTGAAGCATATGAGAGTTTTGTGGGTTATGGTCTCAAAAATTGGGATTTAAAAGATTGGTGAGGTTTTTAAGATATCTGCCAATCTGCAAGTTGGATTGAAATACAATTTTGCTCAAAAGAAGCTAACTTGACTTCCAACAATTGTGAAAAATTTACAACTAATTGAATTGTGAAATAAGAGATTGTGGCTTGAGAATATTGACATTAAGATTAGAGAAGGAGGTTAACCAATATTTGAGCAAAGTTTAGGGATTATTGTCTATTTCTTATGTATGATTTTTTTCTAATTTGTTTTACTTGTTGCTAACTTAGTTGTTGCAAAGTTTACAAATTTGAGTCAAAATCAATAATTCAATTAATAGTTATTAAATTTTCAATTTGTTATAGGATTTATTAAGAGTTTATTTAAGATTTAGGATTTGATTAAGGATTGATGAGGATTGATTTAGGATCTAGGATTTGATTAGAATTTTTTAAGAGTTGTTTTAGAATTTAATTAGGATTTAAGGTTTATTAGGGTTTCATTAGATTTGATCTAGGATTTAGAATTTGCTACAATTTCATTAGATTTTATCTAGGGTTTAGGATTTTGCTAGGATTTCATTAGAGTTTGGTTGGAATTTAAAATTTTATTAGAATTTGATCTAGGATTTGATTAAGATTTATTAGAATTTCAATTAGGATTTTTTCTAAGATTTTATTAGGATTAATTAGGATTTTAATTAGGATTCAATTAGAATTTGATCTAAGATTTGGTTAAGATTTATTAAGATATTAATTAAGATTAAATTAAGATTTTATTAGGATTAATTTAGGATTTATTTAAGATTTCTATTTTTATTATTTAAAACAATTATTTTTTATTTATTTTATTTTTTATTATAATATTTTTTAAAAATTATTATTATATATTTTTAAGGATTTCTTTATTATATTTCTTTGAGATTAATTTATGAGTTCTTTGTATTTTTTTATAACTTCTTTTAAATTTACTTTGAATTGGTTAAAGTTTGATCAGGATTATTAAGGATAACTTAAAGTTTATTTAAGACTCCATTAGACTTAGTAGGATTATTGTTATATTTCTACTTTCCTTCTACAATTATATGCTTGATGTATTCTCAAGCAAGAATACATGTAATATGACAACATTAAAAAAACAAGGCATGGTGCAATGATTTTATAATTAAAACTATTGATAATACATGCATGGGATTTAACAATGGAAGCATGATTTATCTAAAAATTTCTTTCATTGTATTTATTTCACTTAAAACTATCTCATTTTATAAAAAATAATAGAAATCCACCATTGTGTTGAATATAACTTTGAAACAATCATCCTCAAAAGTGAGTTTCTATCACTAAAGATTTGTCTTGGCCCACAAAAATTCATAGATTTTCTTTTCTTTCATCTAAGCATAAAATTCGGTTAAAATAAAAGCAATGAAGTTGGCTTTTGAAAGACATCATTCAATATTTTTTTAAATGCTAAAAGTAAACTTAATATTCAATTTTTAGTTAAATTTTTGCACAAAAAAAATGTTATTAAAATGATCATTGTTTTCAAAAAAACAATCTATGGCTTTTAAATCAAAAATTACAAATTAAATGTTTTTTATTTTAATAAACCATCATATGAAGGATTAAATATATCCAAAGTAAGTCAATAGTGTATTTGTTGAAATAAATTCGATTGTTTTTTATAAACGTATAGACTTTTGTACCTTTGTATTCAAAAATATAACCTTTTAAAGTAATATTATTATTGCTTAAACAAAATGAATGATATTAAATTTATTTGTGAAATTGTGATGCATGTATAGATGTATATATTATATCAACAAATACATACATACATACAAATATATATATATATATATATATATATATGAAATGGTAATGTCAAGTGATACAATTATTATAAATTCAGATAGAAAATAAAAATGTATACATTATGTATATAAATACATATAGAAGTCAAAACATATTACTTTTATGATATATCATTTATTTGTATGTTTATTTATTTATTTGAAATATTATAGTCTCAATGTTTAAAAATTTGATTTATTTGAATTTATATGTGTATATGTGTTTTTTCTTTTTTCTTTTATAATTCACATCAACAACAAATAATAATAATAAAATAAAGATATCTGATAAATAATTTAAAAATATTTCTAACAATTGCTCAAAAATACTTTAAAGTGTCTTTAAAATATTGGAGCTTGTATGAAAGCTTCTATACAAGCTTCAATACCAATATTCAAGCTATGATAAAACTTCTACAAGGTTGTCTAACATAACTTTATAAACCAAATTAATACTTAAAACATTCTAATGTTTGCACAAATGGATTTTGCAGGTTGGCTATTTCTCAAATGGAGAAAGAAAAAGGAAGGGAGTATAAAGCAAGGCCCGTCCCAAGCTAGAAACAAGAATAGGAACAAGAAGGCCTGAAATGGGAATATGAATAAAGAGGCTAGGAATGAAGGATGGAAACATGGGATTGGAAATGGAAGATAGAAATAGGACCTATGAGATAGCAAAGAGAAGTGTGGCTTTATCAATTCATATATATATATATATATATATATAGATAATTTTAAAAAATAAAAAATTTAAATATTATTAAAATTTATTTTTTTCAAAATATTTATAAAATATTATTTAATTTTAATTTTATAAAATAATTTTATTAGATATTTATTTTTGAATAATTAGAAAATTTTATTAAAATATAATATAATTAATTTATGTTTTAAAAGTATTATTTTTTATATTAAAAAAAAACCTTAAAAATCCTTTTTGATATTAATAATATGCATGAAGTTGATAAGAAGTATCTCAATTTTACTATTATTTGATTTAAAATTAATAAAGTTATAAATAAATAAATAAATAAATGGATAATATTTTAAGATGAATATATATACACAAAGACCACTATTTTTATTATTATTATTATATATATATATATATATATAGATAAGACTTATTTATTTATTGTTTTAATTATTTTTCATATGGTTACACTTCATGTTGTCATAATGGAAAGAATTTTACATCAAGAAAGCATTGGACTTTTGATTGACATTAATTACTCAAACAAGTTGTAAATTTATAAAATACAAATCTTATTTATAACTTGTCCTTGTAAAGATAGTTACATCAAATATACAAGTCTTGGATGCACAAGAGTCCCCAAGATGTGTCTAGATATCCTAATACCACTTCTACTCTTATAGAAATTCCTTCCAAATTTGTATCATCTAAAAACTTCAAATCTAACTATCTAGTTGAACTCAAACTTCTCTACAAGTTAACTTATACCTTTAACTACTTCTACAATAAAAAAAATAAAAAAATAAAAAAACTATTGTAGATTTATTTTAGATCTTCAAATATTGCTTAATTTCAAGTAGGTGCTAAACAGGACAATTTCCATTCACCAATGTACTAAATCTACCATATCTCAAAAATCCAATATTCAAATATCATAAAATTTCATATATAGTTTCTTAGTATAGTCATCTACACTTATAGAAATTTTGAGCCAAAAATTCATCCAAAAATTCAAGATATGTTCCAAACCAAAATCTCTATGAAAAAAACTCACTTACAAACTCTAGTTTTCAAGCACCGACTTCCAACAACTCTTTCTCCTTCATTCCAAATTAGAATTTATCAATTCTTTTGCATAAAATGTAGTTCTTCAAGTCAACTTTTAAACATCACTTTTTGATCTCCAAAAGCTCTCACTCAATTCCTTGTATTTACAAAAATAGTGGCAATAGATATAATTTCAAGACCCTAACTTCAAGCACCCATTTTGCTCTCATAAAAACTCCGAATTCCTTGATTTTTGCACGAAAATTGTAGCCCTCAAAACAAGCTAACAAATCCTAACCTTTAAACTTCAAATGACCACCTTGAAGTGGCCTCAAACTCCAATATGGTCTTGGACAACATCTTAAAGTCCATTGGGCATGACCTTCAACCAATGGGAATGAAGTCATCCATCAACTTGCCTTATCCATCCATATGGGAATGCCTAGAAGTCAAAATATTATCCTAAATATATCTACTCTAAATTCCTTATCAATAAATCCTACAACTTCTATCTTTAATTACAAAACTTAAACTACAAACTTAAACAAATTAAACAAGGATTTTATTTTTATTTTTATATTTTTTTAATTACAACCCAAACTCTCAGAAAATTCCATATTACTTTTACATATTATGCTACTTTCCAACATGATAATATTTATTTTTTTATTGCATCTCCTTAGTCACATTTGTTTTTTTTACTTTCATACAATTTTTTTTTAACTAGTTTTATGTGTTTGTAATCTCTTCTTCTTCTTCTTCACTTAATTTAAATATATTATTTTCATTTTTTATAATTTCTTAAAAAAATAATATACCAATTAGAATATATTTCTGTAATTCTTGGTGAATAATATCTAATTTTGAGTTTTATGTGTTTTTTTTAAAAAAAAAACATTAAAAAATCAATGAACCTGGTTTACCTGAATAAATATTGTAATATACGATTTACTAAATGTTTTTACAGAGTGAGGAGGTCATTTTACGAGAGTGGTGTGGCCCTCACTGATAGAAGCCACGTGTGCGTCCGCAGTGATGGGCCTATGGGCGGTCATAGGGGGTCACGCAGGTTTCAGCTGAAGGAAGCCCTACCGGTCTTCAACTGAAAACTCCTGCTCTTCGTCCTCCTTGGCCCAACTTCGCCGTCGCTACCATCCTCTCGCTCAATCCCTCGTCCTACTTGTATCATAATTTTCTTGGGTTCGCTTCAATTTCACCACTACTTCGATACCCATGTCGTCGATTTCATATTAATCTCTCATGTCCCAACATTGCGGATGCATTTGCATTCCCAGCTCGCTTGTGCACCGCCCGTGGAGTTTAATTGGGTCTGTTAAGGGAAGTTTTTGTTAGTGGGCTTTTGTAAGTTATGGCTCTCTGAACCCCGTTCTTCGAATTTCTGCAATGGTGCATGGGATGGTGTTCTGGGTCGCCGTTGCTGTGATGATCTGGTGGCAGTATCTGTCAGCAAAAGACCTGCTGCGTTCGAAGTGTGCTTTGCTTTTGGTTCAAAATTTTGTGGTAAGCGCTGAATACCGTGAGGTCTTTGAGAAGAGCGAGATGATTTGCAGGCGCCGATGGGACGAATTTCTTTGCCCCATTCTTTAATTTCGCTGCACCGTTTCCGCTAACTGCATGCAAGGATGTGAAGATTGGTCAATCGGCTGATCCATCCAATATATCTCATGACTGGAGTCCACAGTTGCAGAAATGGCATATTAAATCAAGCAGATTTTGAATAGCGCTTGAACAGGTACAACGCATTCACTTCATTTTGAAAGGGAGATGTCTGACCAAACGAGAAGTCCACAGGAAATTCCAAATTGCAGAGCTGTTAGTGAATCATTTCGTCATTTGAAGCAATCGAGTTGTGAGTCTGAGGTTTCTAAACCTTTAGGAATGTTGGAGATGACGGCAGGGTTGTCAGATGGTCGCGGAGTGCACGCATCTTGCTTACCGCTGAATCGTTTGGCAATAGGAGCAGTAAGAGGACGTATCTATATGAGTGCCATCGATGCCAAGGTGGATTAACGAATCTGGTACACTAATTTGTAAGCTTCCATGCAAGCAGTCCAACTTATAAATGACATTTGACGAATATTTTTGTGAGTCCCTGAACACGGGCCCAAAATTTTATTCATAGGTTATATTGCAGAGAGATGGCAGTTCACCTTTGAAATGTGCTCTTACAAAAAGGAGAATTAACTTCTCATGCACAATGAACATAATTAATGTGTACACTTCTAGAATGAAAGAAGCTTCCATTCGGAATAGGATGTAATTTTCTAAGCTTAGAATGGTCTCCACTTCTATTGCCCTGGGTCTTGCCCTAGGTCTTGCCTATCCTAGATTACTTGCCGGAGTACATGATTTTGAACAAGGAAATCTAATGTACTAAAGGACGTCATTATTTGCCTATGTTGTTGAACCTAAGTTTGTTTGAACAGGTGCTCTTCAGGGTGATGGGGAAAGCAAGAGGTGAAATTGATAAATATGACTTGTACCTGCATGACAGGCGAGAAGCGAGCAAGGAGGGCACCAACATGGGCTTTCAGTCTGATTTCCCTCATGACACTTGTGACCGACAGATAAGCTCGAGTGTAATGTTATTGTCCTCTTGTGGGCATCGTAGGACAGTAATAAATTCAGATGATTGCAGTCATAAAGTTTTCAGTAACTCAGACAACACTATTGACCTTTTAGATTTGAGCACGACTGGGAACCTTGAAAACTACGTGCTGAAAATCTCTCCATTCGAGTAAAACTGAGGCTGTTTGACCAATGCCCCACAGGGCCATGTCTATGATAAATCAGTCGCATTGGATCGGGAGCGGTTGGAAGTTGCAAGTTTGCGCCAGGATATCATTGACGAGTACGAGAAGAAAAGTGCGGAGCTCCTTGAGTACTTGGATTCCATGGAATCTGCATTTGAATACCAAAGGTTGGAGTACGAGGAGAGACAAAAAAATTTAAGATTGGAAAATGAGGAGCTCAGGCATGAATTGGCACATGGCTGCAGGTAGTATGGCCAGTGAGAAGCTAGAACATAAAACTAAAAACCTGGAACCACTAGAGCAGACTTGGCATTCAACATGAGAAATTCTCTTGTTAGCGGATGGTAATGAAATTTAATAATTGTAACAGGACACTTGCAATGTTACTCAGAAGACTCAATGGTCAGTAGTGTAATTTTGGTTTCTCTACTATTTGCTAATGCCATATGGGATTTCGTTTCAGTTACTTTTGGTAGGATTTTCAGGTCATCTCAATTTAAAATTAGGGATGGTCATGTTTAGTCATAAGAACCGGTACTCCTTGTTTTGTGCAGGGCTCGTGTAGCTGAGCTCCTCGAAAAGGATCAGGAGCGAGAGGAGGATGCTCATTACGTCGTTCAAGCGGTGCAAGTCTTGAAGAGCGAGATGAAGGAGAAAGAGAGGGTCGCCAAGAAGGACCATAGAAAAGTCAAGGTTAGATTGCACAAGAAATGCAAGTCATTATTCACAACTGGTCTGTGCTATGAGAGTGAGATTTAAAGGTGAATATTACTAGATTTAGACGCACATAGACGCTTTACAGATTTCAAAACAAAACTTGTTCGAAGTTTGAGAACAAAAATGTGCTACAAAAATGAACCAATTCCAATCAAGAACTATAAGGGAAACAACCAATAATACAGTTCATTTTCAAAACAAAAAGAGAGTGAATAGTTAGTTAAGGAAGTGTGTGGTGCAATTTAATTTGAATATTTACATGATTGTTTTCGTTCATAATGGGGTGTGAAAAGCTCTGCGGGCCATCTTTGGTCTTGAATGCGGCAGGAGCTGCAGTTAATGGTAGAAGAACTGCAATGGACTATTGAGAAGAAGGAAGAGGAGCATGAAAATGTAGGGAGGCGTGAGAAGAAAGCCCGAAAGCACATTGAGGAAGAGAATGATGTACTCAGACGGAAAGCTGCTCTTGGCTGGATGCTTGGTTGTTTATCAGGTACACATCAACACACAACGCTGGAGAGGTTCGAATTGCGTTTAATTCTTAAGCTTGGGAGGTGCTTTGAATCACTTCTTGCTTACTAACAAGATGCATGGGCCCGTGTTACGGTAGAGCTTTATTTGAGGCTGGACCCTGATATTGGAGCTGGCAGAATTCTGAAGCTGGTGCGTAAAGTCCAGCGAGAGTTGGAATCTGGGAATCGCGTTTTCAGCACCGGAGGAATGACGCCACCCAAGCTGGAATATGAGCTGATTCAAAGAGAGATCCGGAGGTTGATCAATGCTGGCAACTCCAATACACTGCCAAGTTTAGCCCAAAAATTACGCATAAATTCTTCTGTGGTGAGGACTGCCAAGCCCAAACAGTTCACAAGGGAACTTCCAGGTGATCGTCGTAAGAAGCTTAGGCTTAGTAAATCTCTTCGGGAGCAGGCCCAGGCCGCGCAACGAAGCTTCTCTGCACCTTCTGAAGTGTAAGTGCTGTATTGAACGTTTGAGGAAGAACAGTACACAAACACACTGAAAAACATGCTGTTATGTTACATAATTTTTTCGTTTACAATGTTCTTGCTTGAATGTAATTGCTAGGTAACAGATGCAGACAGAATTTGTAATCTATGCAGCTCAATCAAGAACTTAACGTCCTGCTTAATCTCCACAATCATGGCTCTTGTTATCGTTGTTTGACCTCACTCTTCAAGGTTCGCCTGAGAATTTAATGCTGGAGGATTGCTTTTGTGATCTCTATTGTTCAGGCCTTCGAGAAAGGAGGTTGCTGCCTGCGAAGGGTTTGTTCTAAAAGATCACCTCAAACAAAAGCATCATGTATCATGTCACAAGGACGTTCAGAAGAAAGATTGGGGAACCTGGAAAAAGCTAAGGCTACTGAAGATGGACCAAGCTGCCAAGGAAACTTCCTATCGTGAGATCAAGAAAGTTTTGCAAGGATTAGAGAGTAGCATGACTTATCTTTTGGGTCAAGAAAGGCGGCGTCGTTTAAATAATCAAAGTAGGATATGATCTCAGAACTTCGATAACTTCTGAACTGTGTAAATTAACCTGTCTACATTCTGTGTTCTAAACTAAAGTACAGCACAAGAGAACAGGAGAGCATAGTTGTCATATATTAAATGAGTACAACAGACGACAGTTTTATACTCTAGAAGAGTGTTTGTTGTCAACTGGTATGTCTTCAACTGGATTGAATCTGCATAAAATTAAATATTGTATTGATAGTTTGTATTCAAATATCTCTACCATTTATACCATTGAAACAAGCTTGGTGTTAAACCTTGGAAAGTGATTTGGTAAAGATGTTGGCCCACATTGTAGTATTTGAGACACACTCAAGCTGAAGTTATTCAACTATTTTTTTGTCTCAAAAAATTAATATAAAAAATTAATGTACTTTGACCAATCATAGAATTAATGTGCTTTGACCAAACATCAAACAATAAGTATCATGAGTGTAGGTTCAATTGGTGCATATTAATTAGCTAAAGTAAGAGATTGAGTGAATAAATTATTGTTGCTGTATTAAATAAAATCTTGAATAGAAGTTCAATGCATATAGAAAAGTATTTGTTTAACTCCAAGCCAATGTATTAGAGTAAGATTGACCATAAATTTGGCCAAATGATTCATGAATTTTTATATTATATTTTATAAAAGTAACCAAATATTAAAGACTATTGATAGCATGTTTGTATGGAATTTGATCTGTAGAGAAAAACTCATGGTGTTTTCTTTTTTTATATATAAATATCTAATGTTGACTTCATAAGGATTACCAATTTGATTGCATCAAGTGATATATAAAACATACTTATTATTAAATAATATTAGTATTTTAGTTTAATAATTATATAATATTTATATATCTAATATGTATTTAATGTTTTGATTGTGAATAATAAAAAAACCATTCATTAAAATATCAATTTCATACAATTATTGGATATAAAAATTCAATTATCAAAATATAGTTTATGTGAAAGGGTATGTAAATATGAATAGTTAATAAAAACATTAATATTAGAAGTATGTTTGAAAAAAATTATATATTAAAATATAATTATTAATAACTTTATACCTCAAATTTAGAAATTTTAAAGTCATAAAGTAATTTTAATAAGTAAAAAAAGGAAAAAAAAAAAAAAAAAAAAAAAAAAAAATCATGTTTGAAATGAAAAAATACATGATTATCAAACCAAGCTTTGAGATGACTAGCCTTTCTATTTGTTTTGGTGATAAATGATTGATATCCCATGTCAATAAATTTTTTAAAAAAATAAAAAAATAAAAAAATAAAAATCAATCAATAGAAAAAAAATTTAAGACAACTGAAGCATTGAAATTTGAAGTAGGTTTGATGACTTAAGTAATAAAAGTATAAACAAAGAAGTTTTTATTACATAATTAAGTTAGTTTCTATGCTCCACATCAAAATATTGCAAGAGTAGCAAAGAAGAGACATTTTTTATTTTTTATGATTAAAAATATATGAACATAACACATAATTGAAAAAAACAATAATCTTAAAATTGAAGGTAGAAAAGGAGAGAGAGCAATAGAAAGAAAGAGAGATAATATGACAAAAAAACATGAGAGGCAAAAAAGACAATTAAGAAAAATTAAAAGATAAGACTATAAATATAGTTCACTAGAATATATATATATATATATATATATATATATATATGTGTGTGTGTGTTTAAATTAACTATTTGAAGTTTAAGAAGAATTATTAGAAGAGTGTTACATAACAAAATTATTTAAAAAAAAAAAAGATAATATTCTTGTTTAAAAAGACATAATATATATTTTAATAAAATAAACCATATTTTCAAATTTCTTATGGTTTTCTATAGTTAACAAAGATACATTAGAAACTTTTAGTATTAATTTTGGTATGAGATTTTATAAAATTTAAAAATAATTTGTACAACTAAAGATTCTAAAATGTAAGAATTTGAGATATAAGACAATCTAAAGTTGATGTTGAATTAAAATTTTTAAAGTTGTAGTAAAGAAAAGATTGAATAGATAATAAGGGGTGGAAAGTGCATTAGTCTAAAATAAAATTCTAATATTAGTAACTTTTAGCCTACTTTGATCATACTTTGAGCCAATTTAGCTAAAGTAATTTTTTTTATTTAAATAATATTATTTTAAGCGACATTCGAAGGATTTATAAAGTAGTATTGTATGCCATAATAAGTAAGAAAATTAGTAAAATCTTGCAGGGTGAATTTATTGTCATTATTGGAATAAAAAGAAGAATTTATTCTTTAAAAAATTCTTAAATAAGAGTCTTATAACTTTTCAAATTAATAAAAGTTTAGATATCTTTTTAAAGTATACATAAAAATATATATGAAAAAAAAAATTAATAAATTTAAAGAAATAAATTTAGTCTTTCAGAAATGGTCTATTCATTGGGACACGTAAATTAGTATAGATTAATATTAATTCTCACATGATGAAAGTAGCAATATCATTTAAAGAAGCCATTTTTGAAGTAATTTTTAATAAAAAAACATATTAAAAATAAATAATTATAAATTATTACAACTAATCTCGTAATTATTGCAATAATTTTTTTGTAAATATCAAAATTTGGAATGTCCATGTCAATAATACTCTTTGAAGGTCTTAGTATATGTCTTTAAATAGAATTGTAGGAATAAAAGAATACCACTAGATTTTGTGGCTATACGAATAAATAAATAATAAAAATACATTCTTATTTTATGAATTTAATTTTAAATTTAAAAATTTTAAAAATTAAATAAGAAGTAAAAATATAATAATTGGAGAATATGTATATATATATATATATATATATATATATATAAATAAATCTAAATATGGTAAATCAGAAAATATATATTAAATTTTTATTAATGATAGAGATTAAGATATTTTAAATGATGACATTTGATCCAAAATTAAGCTAAATAAAGTCTCAATTAATGCCAAATACTTGGCAAGAATAATTATTATCAAAGACAATTAGACATAGAGAATAGAAGTTGGTATGGTTGCATAATAAAAAAGACAAGGTGGTCATATATCAGATAATTTTTTAATTTAAGGCACCAACATAATATAATAAAGCATCCAATAAGTATAGCTAAAAGTAAAAACAGTAGCTCATCTTTAGAATAGTTGTTAATGTATTAGTAATAATATAATGATAATATTGACTTATAACAAAGTCTATAAAATAAACTTGTTCCAATTAAATAAATAAATATGTAAGATGAAAGTTACTAAATTTTGACTTGAAGGGAGGTCAAAGCAATGTGGATAGAAGAAAGCAACTTCAAAAATAAAACTCATTGATATTTTTCTAATGTAAAAAGAAATAAATTAGAAATTTAGTCAATATGAATAACATTAAATTATTATCATTATTTTTTTATATGATATTAAAAAAATTATATAATAAAGATGAAATTGGAAATTTCTCCTTAAGTTATAATAAATTCTAATTATGTAGAAGAAAATTGGGAAATAAATTAGTGGCTAAAGGTTTGTAAAAGTTTATTTAAAAATAGTCACATTATAGAGAATATATTTTAAAAATTAAATTACATCTACAAAAAAATTATAGCTACGTAATAGAGTTATTTTTGTAAATATGTATTAGACCAAATTTACTTAATATCTTTTTTAAAAAATTGATACTATCCAAAATACCTTGTAAATTTAAAAAATGAAAGTTTATATAATGAAACAGATTTCTTAAAGGGGCTTTACGCTTCTTAAGTTGTATTGCTACAAGAACAATTATATTCAAAGAGTAACAAATGAGGTTAAGAAATAAAAACTAGATGATAAGTCATTGTGTAAGTGTAAAAAAGACATTGTAGAAAGAATAGATTACACTCACATGAAATGAAATGCTTATGATCAACTGTAGAAAGGTCAAAGTCATATCCATGTGTTGTTCTGAATAAACACAACACAAGAAAAATAAAACAACAAAATTATTATGTATTATCTATTGGCAATAGACCCTCTTTTGCATATATATATATATATACATACATATACATACATACAAAAAGAGTGTCTATTACCAATAGATATGTCTCTTTGGTGTACCACAGTATCTAATAAATCTACTCAATCTAAAATACTCACACATCTCAACCCAAGGCTCAACCCAACTTCTAGTGCAAGTGGGCTTGAGTCATAAGGAAGTAGGACTTGAAGAATGGGGCTGAGCATTGGGAATACAATGCCAGCAGAAAAAAATATATGGTGAGTATTTTCAAACCTTGTGAACCACTGTTTAATGCTTAGACCTTGGTTCCACATGTTTAGACAAGAAATTGTGGCCTCGCTTGAACCCAGGAATCAAGTTTGACTTTTCAGTATTATCCCACATGCTATCCAGTAATGATCTGAGGACTGATCCCTGATATTAGACTAATGCATAGAGGACCGTTCAAGAGCATGCCCATAATATGGTGGCAATTTTAGCAATTGGAAATATAATTATTAATAGCATAAAGAGCCCAAGGTTTTGAGATATCCCTGGGTAGAATATATTCCACAATTCAGTGGGAAAGAAAAAACACAAACTGTTTTCAGTATATGTATATGTATATATATATATATATATATATATATTTTTTTTTTCAATTTTATTTTATTTTTTTAGCTTCCTTTCATTTCAAGAGGCTAAGAGTTTTTGTGCCGTAGTGGACTTGTACATGTGTGCTGATGAGAAGAAACCTAGGCCCCCTAAAATTGCATTGACTTCACTAGTCATTGTAGATGATTTGTTGTTGAACATGGAAGGCCAGGAAAAATGCTATTCTATTGCATCGGATTCGAAAGCCATTGTTTGTTATCAGTGATAGCCGCGGCCAGATTCTGCAGGATAATTTTACTTTAAAAATTTGTGAACCTGTGAATATCTGGTATCCTTCCTCAGCGTCGGGGATAGCCCCATCGTTTCTTAGCATGCAGCAAGTAGGAAAAACTTGTCTTCTCAACGTTCTACGAAAAGAAAAAATTATAATTAAAAAACAGGATATTAAAATACTGGGTGCAGCACAAGTAAAACTCGTGTTTACAACATAGAGAGTGCAAGGTCTGTCACCAACGTTGCAAGTACAACAAAGTCAGTAAAGACTGTTTAGGTTTTTTTGGTAATCTTCATTCCTCATCCTAAACAAAATATCTGGTGTGGTGTAACTTTTGAAACAACGACGTCAGGTAATCTAAGTTATAAAACACAACACGAATTCAACAACCTGTCAAAAATACATTTGTACAGCAAGACACACGGTTTAAGAAACAGGAATTAGAGACTTGTTGAACTAGGAAAGTTCATGATTCGCAAGGGAAAAGAGGGTTCACGCTTGTTTTGACTTAGGAAATTCGGGGAGACCGCAAAGCCTTCCTGTCAAGCTTCAATATTCCAACCTGACAGCTTTCTAATGCAGTTGAAATCACTTTGTGAAATAAATAAATCAATTAAAAAAAACCCCACCACCACCAACATCCGTCGTGGAAATCTGGGAGAATCTGCTACTAGAATCAGCGGCATCGATAGCCTGGTTCATGGACTTGGCATCCCCGTTACAAATTTCAAAGCTACGATAACTCTACTTGCTGCCGTCGCATCACCCTCCTCGCCTCCCTGGTCTTTCCATTCGCTTCCTGCAACAGTTGTTTCCTCATTCCCCGTTACGTCGGTATCGGCGATCGATGCTAGTTTTTTCCTTGCACACGGTCGGGAGACGAAACCTTTGCCAACGAAGTCAACGTCCTCAAAAAAGTGGCGCGTGTTTTGACAAGCAGATAAGGTTTTTCGTCAGTGAGCTCGCAGCGTTGTTTGTTCAGAGCGAGTAGGAAGAGAAGGCGGGGGATGAGAATGACAACGATTCAACTACGGGGATTATGAGGAGAGGCTGGAGAGGCTGACGAATCTGAGATCGGAGATTTGTAGTACAACAGGAAGAAGCTTGTCTTCTTTGGGATTTTTTGCCGCTCAAGATGTGAATAATGGGGCGTTTGTCGGAGCAGGACAATCTGGAGAATTTGCGAGAGCGTCTTGAATGGAGCGTTGCCCTGCTTGGATTGATTGCAGCCATTGTGGAGGATACGAACTGGGCGTGTCGTTGCCGAAGCGTGAGTTTGTTGCATCTGATCGAATGCCAAGGTTTTTTTTTACTGATCCCACCACATTTTGTCGCCGTTGCACTCTTCTGATTACAACAGAAGCTGTTGCATCAACTGAGCACCGAAGAGGTCATGGGGAAGAGTAAGGAGACTTCTTGGGTCAGGATTTAGCAAAACCCACTGCACAGCCAACCCAAATTCTGAAAGTAGCTGGTTTTTGAAAGCATAGTTAACTGTTGAGGATTGAATAACCTGGGCATGGCGAGGTAACTCGCAACGTCATGCTTGAGATTGAGAAGGGAGAGGAGCAAGTCATAGACTTCACTGCTGTTGTCCTATTAAAAACCCTTGGAGAAACAGAGGGTATAATCAGCCAAACGATGTCGCAGATCTACAGTTTTTTCCCTGAAAATTTGAGCGGGCAATGATATGTACACATTCACGTCAAAGATGGAAAAACGCGTCTCATTTCACCTAAAATGCAGCTAACTTACGTTTTTTTTTTTTTTTTTTTTTTTTTTTTTTTTTTCTGCTTCGTAGATGAAGTTGCTAGAAATATTCAAGAAAAAGAAGAAGACGGCGGTGGGCAATGGCGAACCTCACGATGCCTCGCCACCAACTCCAACGCCAACGCCGCTATCGAAGCCACCACCTGATCACAGCATCTGCAAGAGACCGGAGTCATATTTTCTTGCTCTAGCTCTGCCGCCATTGCACACATCCTCCCTACCGAAATATCCAACCCGTCGAATTGAATCGCAACTCACAAAAATCCAACCTCCTGTAGACAAGGTACACCAAAAATGACTTGAGCAATGCTCTGAGATTTTGTTTTATTTGAAGTGGATAGACGCATTGTTTAGGGTCATGTTGGTGCAGGCACCGAGTGCAAATGGGAGGGAGCAAGTGAAGATTGCGGCGTCTTACCTGAAGTCTCAGAAAAGATCCATGTGGGTGTGGCCGTGCCTGCAACTAGATTCTGACGCTTCTGAGCCGAGTAGTCCTACATCACCACGCCGAGATTCAAACTCCACTCGTAACCATTCTCTGTCATCACAAGACAGAAGGGATAGCTCTAATGCATTGGATCCTAGCTCCGCCGGAGGTTCAGGACGTCGTCACTCCATACGACCACAATCGGAATGCATAACGGTGGATTATGGTAATCCGGGGTACAATTTGATCGCAAACAACCCCGCCGAGGGTTCCGCGTATTCTACTCCGCAGAGGAATCCACGAGAGCGATCGAGAAGTGGCCATGGGAAGCCATCTACACCTCGTCATCAGGGCTGTCGCAAGCCGTGCAAGCTTCCATCGCCACCTAACTTGACTGAACTCGACAGAAAAATGCGACAATGTGCCACGGCGCCTGCAACACCGTTGCAGAAATTGTCTCCTCGACCGCGTGCACCGCCGGTATTGATGTTCAACCAGGAGACGGTACCGCAGGGGCACAAGCTGACGCCACCAGCTTCGCCTCGGCCGCACAAACTGACCCCGCCACCATCTCCTTATCACGCAACAAGCTCAGCCATGAATCTGGAAAGACTAGATGTGCCCAAACCTCCTCAGAGATGGAAGATGGGCCAGTTGATTGGCAGTGGCTCCTTCGGTTCTGTCTACGAAGGGTGGAATTTGTGAGCTCCTTTTCTTCTCTCAGGAGCTTAGCTTTGTGGTTAAAATGCTAATGACGTTGCTAGCAGATTAGAATGCAGTAGAGTTGTTTTGGGTTGAGGATGATATCACGCTGGTCGTGAGGTGGGTTCGCAGGCCATCTCTGAACACCTCTTAACATCTAATTTTCATGGCTTTCGTTTGGAGTTGATTGCATGATTGGAAGCAGCTTGTTCTGATCCTAATATGGTTGCAAAGCAGGGACGATGGCAGTTTCTTCGCCGTGAAAGTCAGCAGTATTGACAACGTTTCCTCTGAGATTCACCAGGTAAGCAGCCACTGGTTCGGTTAATCCAGCAACGCATAATCTATCAAATACTTTTGCGTCGTGCAATGTGGCATGATTTCTGGGTCCACTGTCGAGTCTCATCCTTCAACGTCATTGTGTGGGTAATCCATGGCAGGAGGTAGCGATGCTGAGTAAACTCAAGCATCCCAATATTGTCCAGTACTACGGCACTACCACGGTACTAAGCTCTACAAAATCCAATTCTACCTTCAAAGGGCTATGCATGGGGCTTTCTGTATTTATCTGTTCTGTGCATCTGCAGTAAAAATGGACCTTTCGAGGTCGGAATCCGTCTCTTGGGATGTTTTTTCTAACACAGGTCAATTAAACGTTGTGGCAATTAAAAAAAATTCAGGAGGACGGAAACATCTGCATATTTCTGGAGCTTGTGAAAATGGGCTCACTTGAGAAGATCATGAAGAAGTTTGACGCGTTTGACGAAGTGCTGATTAGGTTATACACTCGCCAGATCCTCAAGGGGCTGGAATATCTGCATTCCAGGAACACAGTGCATAGGTGACATTCTCTATTTTACATCACCCGGATGGTCTGCACTTGTTGAGCCTGATTTGAGTAAGGAGAACCTGTGTTGAGAGCTTCAATTCTAAAACCATTGAATTGCGTGCAGGGACATTAAGTGCGCAAACATCCTAGTGGATTCTGATGGGCAAGTGAAGCTAGCGGATTTCGGTTTAGCCAAACAGGTTCTTACCTTCCGCACCTCTTGCGTTGTGGCAATTCGCCCTCTTCAAAGTTTATAAAGTATGCCTAGTTAGTTTAGCAAAACCTAGACACCTCGCAAGCTTTTTCTTCGGAGAGCTCCAATCTATGGTGTAGTAATGAACAAAGATCTGCAATTATGTTAAAATTGCTTACGGCGATGGAAGCAGTGATGAAGCAGGCTCAATCTGAAGATCCCTTGATGTGTTCAGATGAAGGAGTCAATGGCCAGTTCAGTGAAGGGCTCCCCATATTACATGGCTCCCGAGGTAATCACTCTTCAGCAAGTGCACTCTGCTAACTTACTCCAAAATTCATTGTGTTTTTCGTGGTCTGTGTGTGAATCTCCTCTTGAGGTGATCTGCGAATTTTATGTGTTGGACTTTGACACCGAAGGAATTGCTTGCCAGATTTTGGCCCCACAACACAGTAAACGCCCTTATGGGCTGCCCGTGGATATCTGGAGCCTTGGGTGTACTGTGATTGAAATGGCAGACGGCAAGCCGCCATGGGGTGCATTCCAAGGGGTGAGTTCTAGTTCATATCTACTCTTTACTTTTTGAATCTTTACTTTTTGTGCGAGCTTAAAGCGATGCAAGTGCACAATTCATTGGACGAAATTGTATTAATTGGAAACGATGTGGGAATTTCCTCAGTATGGGTTCGTTTTCAATGTAGTGAAGGGGGTCCTGCCACCCATTCCTGAGCATCTGAGTGACAAAGCAAAGGACTTCATATCCCAGTGTTTGCGTAAGCGTCCAGAGGACCGACCCACAGTGAAAGAGCTTCTACTTCATCCCTTTGTAGCCATCACTTCCCGGACGTTCTGAGTTTCTGTTCCTATTCGCGACCAACTTTGCAAGGTTTTTGAGATTACCCTGCGGTGTGTTTTTCTCGTGCCCCACGTTGATCAGAAGCCTTAGAGACTACCTGATATTATTTTTTCAAGAACATCGCCACTGCCAGATTGGATTCTTTGAAACGCGATACACAGAACATTCATTGCCTTACAGGGAGCTGGCAATTCCTTCAGCAAATAGTGTCCGATTGCTCTATTCCTCTTTGGGCATTCACATACTTCGGCAGAAATCTCAGAAATTCTCCAGAATTCAGGTTTAGTACTTCAATTCGAGGTTCACGGGGTGTAGAGGAGACGTTCGCTATCACTTTTTCATCTTCCACGTGAGAAAGCGAGGTTAATTCACGCTTCACGTTGGTCTGCGACTGGTCATTCATGCGTACAAGCGAAGCAACCATTGTTGTAATCCAGAAAATGCAAAGCTTTCATCTGAGTATAATCGGAGATCATTAGAGGGACCTGGACGCCAAAAAGGAATCTGACCCATTCAAATCCTATACAATCAGGAGAAGAGGTCTTCTTCCTCATGTAACACACATTGGTAGAAGCATAGGAATTTACTAGAAAGATTTCAAGTCAGTTGATATGCTTTTCTGAACATTTCCATACTGATGAAACACGATTGCCGTTTCACAGAAATGAGAATTAGTTCCAACGATTTCGACCGATTTACTATGAAAATTAGACCAGGGTAAATTCGATCTTTAAATCCGATTTAGACTTTCCTGGATATGTACATGTAATATATTGTACAACTCCCCTCCTGTAATGGACCTCACAACTGAAATCAATCAATACCAGGAAGAGGTTTTGAAGTCTTGAATCAAACCCTAGAATTTTTTGAAAACCCTGTGAATTCGCTAGTTTGATAACGTAGCAGTTTTCAAAACTAACTTGAAATTGAGCTACGATCAGGTCGAGGCAGAGTCTCTTTATTTTCATTATAAGGTTTCAATAGAGAGTCACTGCATTCACGCGATTGATGAGAATGGATCGTTCTGCTTACAACGCCAATCAATACTAGGTTTTAGAGCTTGAACAGCAGCGCATCATGTAGCATAGTAAAGATTTCTAGATCTCCAATCTGGCTCAAGTTCGACACCCTAACTCTAAACTCAGCGATGATACGTGTGCACTTTTAGCACGACTGCATTAAAACCCAACTGTTTCCCCCAAAGCACAATGAAAGTCTTGACAGCATCTATGATGAACAACTCGTGGTAGAGTTATAAACCATTACAAATGCGCTTCAACACACATGGCAATCAACAAAATCAGTCTCACCCAGTGTGAACCGAATCTGCAGGATAAGACACGCTAGAACCGTCTGTGTAACCGCCATATCCTCCCCTTCACCTTGAATACCAAATCTTTCGTCCGTTATTGAAGGATTTTCACATGAGAAGGTTGCCATCTGCCACCCAACACAAAAGTACCCACATCCTAGTGACCTGTCTAACTTGTGTCTCTGCCTTCGCCTCTGGCGTCAAACCTTCGCAGACAACTCCCAGCGATTCAGCAAGGTAAACCTAGGAGCTGCCGATGGATCACGAGGTTTACGTTGTGTCGATCCTCAACTGACAGCACATTTTCACTGCAGTCATTGTACAATTTCAGTTTCAATACATGTGTGTGTAAACATAGGTATGTATGCTAGAATATAATATTTTACATGATTTCTTACATAATACAATGACATGCAACAAGGAGAAAAAGCGTAAGGTTTCAGATACATTATTTTTGTAGTTTCTCGACGATGCGAACTTCCAATTGTGATGTAAAGAAATATTTTTTGTATATTTCAAAATTATTTGAGCGTGAATGATTTGAAAAACAGCATGAGAATCTCTCAAGTGCCAACGAGTCATGCGCTGGTCATTTCAATCAATGTTGCCATGTGGGCACCTATGCATATATTCATTCTGCTTTCAGCAAACATGGATTGTGTTCTAAGGTTTATCCCGTGAGCCAGGGCTCACGACATTCATCATCTGCTAGCTAGGGCTTGCAGTGAGATACACTCCCAGAATCCAGTCAAGAGAGGTTTCTGCCATGGCGGCTTGCTAATCTTTGCAAGGCGCACGTCGAGGCGCTCACCCTTGTGCACAGCCTCTCTCTGGCACCGAAACTTGATCGCTGTGGAAAACTGAAGCCGAGGTTACCACACGTAGAATTTTGAGAGCTTTGAACCGACTGCGTGTGCTATCTGTTGACCTTTCGGCACATTCGTGTGTCTCAGGGCTGCACAGATCAGATCTTCTTGTCTGCGCACACAATTGAATGCCGTGAGGAGCATGCTGGCGACTGGAGCTTCTTCAATATGGGTAATGAGGGTAAAGGAGAGGTTGATAGGGGAGGAATAATTGCCAACCATAACTCCCACCGGGAACATATCAAGCAGGACTCTAGCTTCACAATCATTTCCGTTTTTTACTTCGTATTTACATATATCCACGAGGAAGGGATGCATTCATGCTTTCCTTGCTCAGCAGGAGACTCAAGAAGCTTGCCTCAAGCTGGCTGCCAACCCTAGTTCATAGGATGTGGAACTTGTGAGAAAGAAGAGGGTTGCTGCTGTGTTTGCTATGCCCTCTATCTGCTGCACAGGGAAGAGGGTGTGATAGATTAAAGCCTATGAGATGGTATCAGAGTGGCATGGAGAAGCCTCCTGCTTCTGAAAGCAAAAAAGAGGTGCCTGCACCAACGAGGTGGTGGACGCGTTGGATGACCCATTCAGATGCACTGGTTCATGGGTCCACGTCGTCCATCTGGATCTGTTTGCCTTTTATTTACTCCTATTTATTTGTGTGTTCAATTTTTGGACAGCAAAAAAACAATCGTTCTTGACGCTGGTGGCTGACCCATTTTATCCTTGTACATAGTACAACACTGTATTGCTGTCCTGTTGATTTCTGGAGGGACCCATTTTTCAACCACTTCCATCATTCAGCCACAGTTGCGCATCATCATCGGTAGAAGAACCGTCTAGTTGTTGGTGAGTTTCTTAAGAAAGTTCACCTAGAGAACCTCTTCGAAAACCAAGACGTGAGTACCGATTATTACAGTCTGATCCCACAACTATTCACAATAAATGGACATGATATTTTATTTTTAATTCAACGAGGGATACAGTGTTTAGCAAGTTTGCAACAAACACGGGCAAGATACTACTTGATAACGTTAACATGTATTTGAGTTAATATCTTTAGGGAAAGAAAATGTTAAATTTCCTAAGAATACTGAAAACCGTATCATCAGCTGGGAGGTATTCAAATTCCAATGTAGTTGGAACACAGGCATTCTTATAAGATAACATACGAACCGCCCCGATTCTTTTTCTAGTGAGGTCTCATGTCAGATGTTATCTTTTCCAGTGAGTTGTCAGTCATTGTTTTTGTTTCATTATTTATTTCCTTAAAACATGTTTTAAAAAGAGATTTGAAGGAACAGTTTAAAAAGTCCACCAGTGTCAGTCGATCGGATCGGATACCCCGAGTTTCAGTACACACATAATATTAATTAGCAATGAATAGCAGAGCTCAAGCATGGGAGAGGATCGAAAACAGTACCGATCAACGACACGCCAAAGGAGGTGGAAACAAATGTTAAGGCATCATAAAGAGGCTTGCGTAAAATGAACTGAGAGGACCCAATGTCCAGTATACACAAAGAGAATAATTTTCTAATGCGCAGACCCTTCCAAACACTACGTCTCAAATAGAATTTATGTACATTCATATCTTTGGAGGAATCTCTCGTGTTCTAATAGCTGCCCCTGGTGTTTCTGTACAGAAACTCCTCTAACTCTTAAGGATAATGGATGGGTTTGGAATTAGATGAGCCGGGAAAACGATGAGTAACTTCAGCAGTTGAAGCAGCCTGCAAAAGCTAAATGACCAGAAGTTGCTGGTGCATTTGACCTCTTGTTACTTGTTATGTGGTAAATGACCAGCCCACTACTAAGTTCATTGGTTGTCGATAGAATATTCAAACCGTTGCTGTCGACCGCCAGGTCATATTGGTGAGCCCATAGAAATTGCGGAACAGACCACCAAGAGAAAGCTTAGAGCTTGGAAGCTCAGGTTCTGGTCGAGGAAGCCCCTTTACTTCCAAGATTGAGTGACCCAACGACTTCCGCATAGTTTCTACAACATTCATATTCACAGGGGAGCCAGACGCATCAACCACATAAAATACATTCACAGCCTTGTCGTCTCGTGTGGTGATGTCCGCACGGGCAACTGAAAGTCCGTTTTCGCGGAACAATCTAGTAACGTCTGACAGGAGACCTATTCGGTCGCTCATGCAGAGCTCCAACCTCAAACCCTGCAATTGACAACGACCCATAAGTATTTGCGTGCAACAGCACCAGACACAAGGATGGAACAAATTGGTGACATACTCGAAGGTCAAAAGTATTAGTTCTATTATCAACCTCAGAACCTTTTTTATGTTTTTTTCTCGAAGGGCAGTGATACTCTGTTCAGGAAGAGTGAAAAGTTGAGTACCTCACTGGTCCTGCGGTTGATGGCGGCCTCAAGACAGACTTTCAGGTGCTCCGCGTCTGCGGTGTCGAGCGTACAACCGTTCACATGACGAATGAAAAACTCCTGGGACGTTTCAGGGCCTGGCGAGTTGATCAAAGCGTGGTATATCACATACTGCATGTCGGTCAGTGTGCAGACGATATCAAACAAGAGCTTCGATCGGTCCTTGCATTGAATGCTGACGACTGAATACCCACGCTCGTTTCTCTTGATTTGGATCACCGGCCTCTGCTGGGGGTTTCCAGAAACATGTGGCACTTCATTCACTCTATCGTCATACATCAGCTGATGAAGCCGTCTCTCTACATGGGTTATCTCGGTCGCATATTCTATCTTACATCTTGCCACTTCTTCATCATGATCACCTTTCATGACCTTGGATAACTGCCCCCTGATGTGGTCAAGCTTCGACTGAGCCGTGATGGGGCGACCTGTGTTAATATCGTTGAAGTAAATGATGGAGGCCACCCGTTGATTGTGAGTCCATACCTCCGCACCGTTCACGTTGCACTCTAACCTTGTAAGAACCGCAGATATTTCAGACAGAAGACCAGGTCTATCAGGCCCTGTTAGTTCAATAACTGTGTGCTCGGAGCAGGTCAGGCCTGTCGAACGACGCAGATGATCTGCCGATGATTTCTCTCTCCTAGTCCTGTACCCAAGTGACTGCAACAAACAAATCACAGCTCAGACCGTTGCACTTCTGGAAGATTTGAGAGAAAGATGAGAAATCATAAACAGATGGCGGCTGCAGAGGAGTGAGGCAAAGTATGACGAACCTTGAGTATATGGTCGCAGGTACGCTTGTCCAAGGTTTTGTTTCCATTGGAATCGACAACGTGGAATACTGCAAGTCCAAAACAATTAATTAGCCACAAGGGACTAAGACGAAGAGTCTTGCAAGAAGCTATCAAACACTTCCAAAAACAGAACGCACAAAGAACGAAGAAACTGACCATCCATAAACCATCCGAGGTCGTGAAAGATGTCGGACTTAGTAATTGTCAGATCAAGGTCAGTAAGCACTTGTACAACATTCAGCAGTATGCCATGCCTGTTGGCACTGTACACTTTCACGACAGTGGCATTCTCATTAGCCTCAGTTTCGACTGTCACCCTGCGGATTCAAAACACAAGCATGTGAGGCTTGGTTTGACGTGCACACCTCGACAGTACAACATTCAGGAAAGGATGGTCTAATCGCATGCACACACGTTTGAGATATGAATGAAGGATTGTGTAAGAAAAAAGCATACTTGGGAGGGTTGAAGCTGGAGAAGGTTGTCTCGTAATCGGGATCAAAATATGGCCACCTCAAATTTCCCATAACCGTTACTGAGCCGATAATCCCGTGTGTGGGAGTACAGTAATTTCTCAAGAGCACTCTGCGACGAACCTCTTGTACTTCTAATGATTGATGATGCTGTAATGACAGTATCACTGCAAAACCACCGCATGGTTAGTCAATAGAAGGATGGACTATACAATAGATAGTACGAAAAAATTCAGACTACAAAGGCCCTTGCGACAGCGATCAGAAGATCCCTTGGCACCAATCAGGGGCATGAGCTGATACAAGGCTGCTGAATAGAGCACTGTGACACCGAGATCAGCGATCAAGAGGAAAGTTTCTGTCGTTACTACCTGATGCACCGATGCTCTGTTTCACTCTGTTCGCGGCACACTTGGAAGTCACTCGGTCTTCACGTTAGAAATTAACACTATTTGCGACGGCAAAGAGCAAGTTCGCGGGATAGGAGATTTAGTTAGAAGCGAGGACTACCCGGAGTCGTTTCACATTTATGAAAGAAATCACGTTCTTCCAGGGGGAAATCGGGTCAACCATCGAGCGGGCAACACTAGCGCTCTCCATCTAAAAATGTACAACAGATATCTAATTGCGCATGCCACGAGGCACCACTTTACTCAAACTGGTGAAAGCGCCAACTATCTACTACCAGCTGCCCTTTCTTGATCACACCACCACGACGAATTCCTCTAAATCAATAGTTTAGCCTTCCCCTGGACCGAGTTCGATTTTTGACGGTCCCTTCAAATTTCGCGTAGCCAACTGGTGCTAATCTCGAAGACTACAAGTTCCACCACAATCGATCAGATAATGAGAAATACAAATCCCTTCCGCAACTCTCAAGCCACAGTCTGATTAAAACTTCGCTCAAGATCTCCAGAACCACGCTACCGATCAATAGAGCGACGAGACGGGTCCCAAACCATCAAATCCGTACCCTACTCTGCCTCCAAACACCAACAGGCCACACCGATCCAGCACACGCATCAATCGCCCTCACTTCTGATGAACACAATCTCTCCAGTCCTTTCCCTTCCCCTCGTCACTTTCGCTCTCCCATCAATCAATAATCCCTTCTACCGAACTCTATCTTACAGCGCTCTCAACGGCTTTCTTCCCGAAGTCGCGCTCTCGAACGACCAAGCTAGGTCTACAATCAACGAATGATCACCATCACACCCAACCACCCACCAACAGCTCCCAGAATACGCTTCGGCGAAATGGGTAAATACACGGAGTTCGCACCCCGCAACGGAGCGGAACCACGCGCCTCTAGTAGCTCAGCCCCAAGACTAACGTGGTGGCACACATTTCGAGACACCGAGGGCTTTCCAACATGTGGTAGTTTGCTTTGACCAGTCTGCAGTGCACGACTAACCCTACACGGCACGCGCGCACTACAGGGCTTCGGACTCAATGGGGCAGCAGCAGCAGCACTGCACCTCACACAACGCACAGCTGAGGTCTGCAGCAAAATGCTCTCTTCCTCTATGTGTGTGTTTCTCGCTCTCTCTCTCTCTCTCCCGGTCTCTGTCTCTCATACGAAACCCGTAGAGTTTTGAACCAGACAAGGCACGGTCACGGAAGGGGCAGCTACTACCTTGGTGGCGTGGTCTTCGGATCTCTCCTTCCTCCGTGGGACAATCAGTCAGGCGCCACATTCACATCCTTCCTCACCTTGGTCTCTCGTTCTTCATTTCACTGCTTGTCTTCGTTAATGTATGCCAGGTCTGCTTTTTGTTTGAAGTACTGCAAGGGCCGCTGCAAAAATAGGACCAAGTGCCACCTGCGACGTGTCCAGCCCACGCGGGTCCCACACTTCAGGCCAAGCTCCCCAAGGGCGGTGGCTTCGGAGCTCACCTCTGAGCAGGTAAAACAATTGCTGCGCCGTTACCGAAATTAACTAACCACATATGACTAAAACGAAACAAGATATCAAAGTAGCCTTCTGGGCTGCGAACTGCAGTCAGACGATGGGTCAAACACGTGGTGGCCAATCTCTCGTAACTAATTCCTTCATTGCAAGTTTGTGAAGATCATGCACTGCACCGCACCGCACGCAGTTGTTGCACAGACCCACATCACAGAATTTGTTCGTTTGTATGTTTGCATTTCTTCCTCGAATTCTCTTATATCATTCTTCGTTTTTTGTTGGTGGGCATTCAATGTGTGTGTAAATGTGTTAATTTTGAGTGTTGGCGAAGGTGTCGGTGATTCATAGGAGGCGATGACGACGGTCATGGGTCTTGGCTGTGGCCTCCATCGATGGAGCCATGCGAGCTTCACAAGTCTCAATCCTTCACATTATCGTCCATGTTTCATACATCTGCGTGTTTATTAATCCATCCGTTAGTTCTTTCGTGTGTGGGTGAATGAGCATCGTAAACAGAATTCTGTATGCTGGTGGTGTTCCCTTTCATTGAATGTGTGGATGATAAAAACAAATAGAAAAACCGTGTGACTACTTTTGTGACTTGATTTCACTCCATGTTGCAATATTATATAGATTGATTTATTGTTATTATTATTATTTTTTTAATGTCAAGCTGAGCAGCGTAGTAACTCAACCATGATGGTGAGTGATTGTTTTAAGTGCTACAAATACATAATTTAAAACAAATAAACTAAATAAATGATGATGTTTGGTTGTGTTCGTTTGTAAAGTGGATGCTCAACTTTTTGGATATAAACAAAAATAAAACATAAAAATGCTACGAAAACACATTTGTTTCGTTTGTTTTCATAGGTTGTCTTGTGTGTCATTTGCATTCATTCAAAGATTCGCTTAAAAAGTACATACATAAATTATTTATATTGATTATTATTATTAAAAACACATAACATTAATTTCAACGCATATAAAATTCAGAATATCTCTAAAGAATCTTTTCTAGGAAAAAAATAAAAAATAAAATAAAATACTAAAATCAATAAAATATAAAAGACTAAATTGAATATACTAACCCGATACCTTGGTAAAAAAATGAGAAAGTAAGAAAATAAAAAATAGTCCAATATAATGTGGAATCCATAAAATAATGAATGTGCAAAAAATCAACAAAACTTGAACACAATGAACATTCAAAAGAGTATGTACGTATAATACTCATTTATTTTCAAGATAAAGATAGGATTTTTCTACATCCACAGGAAACCCTCAATTCCAGCACCTGTAGAACCCAATAGTGGAATGCTTTCCTTGCGAAAACTGACTCACAATGACAATGACGAAAAGGAAAGAATAACCGGAGCTGCTTGAGGTAACAGGCAACCAATAGGAACATCCTCGATGGAATCACAGTTTCTATCAGCAGTCTGATATATTACAATTCTTATACTTCCTCATGCATGCACGAATACTTCTAGGGTCAAAAATCGAACACATGCCTACAATCCCAGAAATGAAGAATGCACGGCCACCGGTACTCACGGACGACGTTCTCTCTATGCCGACTCTTAGTAGCATGGTCGAATTTTTCAATTTATAATGTTTTGGGCGTTCCTGAAGAGCCGGGGAAAGTTTCTCTGGACTGGCGGCAAGTCGGGATCAGGTTGCTTGTGGGCGAAGCTGGAGGGCGACAGTGCCGAGAGAGTGGTCTCTTTTGGACAAAGAATCTCGGGTTTCGGCATCTCTAGCTGCTTCCATGGAATGGCATTCTGAGCATCTGCTGTTGATCGCCGCAGACCCGGCACTCCGCGTAAGCTTGTGGGGACTTTTGAGGCTGAAGGCTTGACAAAAAGCTGTTTCGCAGGCATTGGAACTCTTCAATCATGGAATCGATTTCCGTAATTGAAAAACATGACAAAACCGATCTGACTAATGTGAAGGCGACGCTCGAATTGATGCACGCTATCTGGGTGCGAAGCGGTTCTGTTCCGGACAGGTGGAACGATGGACGGTCACCAGTGCAGACGCGGGGGGGCCCATCGATCTGCGAAGAGGCAGACCTGGCTCCATTGTTTGCTTGCGAGACGCTTTCTGCACCGCCGTTCGATTTAATACGGAGTTTCACACATGTCTTCGTGGAGAAAGATGGCAGTTAACTCCGTTGCAGAGCGGGTCGACATTTCCATTGCTGTCTAATTCTCTCGAAACACAGCAGCGTTTGAACCATTAATGAGCCCTGCCCAGAAAAGTATATTGGTCGCGAAAACAAACCCGCCGGTCTTACCAGCACTGTCTATCACTCTCTCTAGCTCTATTATTTTCCTTCCTCTTTGAACAGAAGCTGGTTTGTCGTTAACGTCGCACGAATATAATACAGTTTAACTCGGGCACCTGTTTCGTGTTCGTTGGATTTTAGCTGTCCAGAGGCCTATTTGAGGAATGAAAGGACAGCGTGACGGAAACAGCTCTTGTCTCTGTGCATGAAACAGTGGCGTGTCTGCACTATTTCGTCAAATTCTATCCACCCTACAACTGGGAGCCGGTATACGCAGCCAATAGCGGGGCGGGGCAGGATATATACAGGCCCTTGCTCGGGGAATCGGCGGGCTTCAATCTGCATTACTGAACGGTGGAGAATGAAGGCATGACAAAGAACTTGGATCGCGGCCAATTAGGGAGCCTGCGGGGACGGGCGCAGATTGCATCGCCACCGTTGTCACGCTGCATCGGAGTCCCAGAGGCTGCTAAATTTAACCGATGCAGAAACATTCCAGCATATCTTCCCTTCGTCTGGCTGGAATCCCCCACGGGAAGTGCAGGTGCAGGCACGACATGCCAACTAGCCCCTGAATTATTCCAAACGGGATCCTCCGCGCTAAATTTTCCTAGCGCACCATTTCGAAAGTGGAGCCCTCGTGGACGACGTTGCCGGGGAGTGCCAACCCACGAACAGGGCTCTAATCCACTGAAGCCTGCCGATCATTGAGCTTCCACTGTTGATTAACCGATCAATCGTGTGCCCAGCCGCGTCGTCTAGTTGCAGTCATGTCTCGATCCCATGCCGGGACACCGATCACCCAGGCTCCACTATGACGAATCCTGCGCCTGAGGCTTGTGATCGGGGCCCTCGCGTGCGAGTGCGCCTCGTTTCAGAAACATGGTGCCACAAGCTCAGATTCATCGCCATGGCGAGGTCGAGACTGATCGGGATCTGAATTAAGAAGGATAGAGCTCCGACGATGTAGGCGCGCTGCCCAAACACAGCAACGCAGGGGGAGGCACGCCGCATCGCTGGCTCATTGGTGGCCACAGCGTGCCATCCCAAGTTGTCTAGATTTTTTGTGTGTGTTCTCTGACTCTTTTTCCCGTGATTTAGCTTGTTATTCTTGAGGTGTTGTGTCATGTGTGTGGGTGTGTATGAGAAACAAAGAGTGCCTGCATGATCTGATCGAGGAGTGCCTCGAAGAAGACCACGATGGTGGCGTCGTTGCTACTGGTGCCCCAAGGCAGTGTTACCGTCATCGATGCTCGGCGACTTAATGTCATGAATTTCATCACCATGTAACCTACACTTTGTTGTGTGTGTGTGTGTGTATATATATATATATATATATATTTATATATGTTACACACTTTTTTCATTTATGGAAGTTACATGAATGCGAAGTATGCCAGTACTTTATTTTAAAAAAACACAAAAAAATAAAAATAAAATAAAAATAAAATAAAAATACTATACAATAAACTGAATAAAATAAAAGCAAATTGGTGTCTGTTCTTGAAATTCGTTGATTGAATTTTTCAGAAAGGGATTCAATTCTTGTTTAATGAAAATCATGAAATTCTAAAAAATAAACCATAAAAATTTATACATGAAATCACTGAAAAGAAATTCATTCTCAAATTATATTCTGAATTCTAATTTACCAGAAATCCCAGACCAAAACTTCTACTTGATCAGAATCACTTATTTTGCAAAAAAAATTGTCATTATATTAAAACAAACTATATTAACATCATGTCATTGTAATCAAATTTTACTTAGTAATATGATAAACAATGGCCAAATCCTTATAATTGTAAACATACTTATACAAACTCATGACTTAACTGTCATTTAGCAAGCTCTTATGTATATGTATATATATATATATATACATATATTGGTTTGGATACAAAAAGACATGCAGAATGATGACGAACACTTTGGTAGAATAGGTGTTGAACTTACATTTTTACCACAGTACTAGTATTGGCTCATCTATCCGCAGTACCTTTGTCAATTTTGCCTAGCCCGCTAACCACCCGCTCTCTAAGAGCAACACACGGCAATATCGTGGGCAAATCCAACAAACTGGTTTAAATAATATAAAATTTTGTCCCAAGTTCATTAGGTGGAACCAATGGTTCAATGGTTGGGGTTTAGAGTTGAGTAAGGGTGGTTCCAAATTTGATGAAGCCACCAACATGGTAGACAACTAATTGTGCTTTGTTTGTGTTATGCTACAAGTATTGGCCTTAGCCCACCTCCTTGGCTAACCCCTCTTGCCTTGCCCTCTCTCCACTTTGCTTTCTCCTCGCTCTAAGGCTCCTTGCTCTCTACTCCCTTTGCCCCTTAACTCTAAGTTACAAATTTTGTTGGCAGACCAAAAAAATAAAATAAATAAA